TTCAAGTCTGCTCTTTATGTATTCTCTAACGCGATAACTTCATAGGAGCTGGGTCAGGATTAATCTCATTGCTTTGGTGTACTCTCTGAGGTTTGATTTTTTTCCCCCCTACACGCATTTTGGAACTGATCACTGTGTTTCAGCATGACAGCTTTTAAAGAAAGAGGCAGACAGGCTCTTAATAGTTTAAGACCTAGTTTCTGTATATATTTGTGAAAGAAAACAGCTGTGCTATTATTTACTTGTTATATTAAACAATTTTTTTTAACAGAAGTATGTTTCTAATACTGAAGAGTTGGACACAGCATAATAATTAGATACTAAAACTGAGATTAAATATCATTCCTTTTACTACATAATATGATTTTCTCAAATAAAACACTTTTTGTTATCATTGGTGAGGATGAGCAAAAGATTTCTGGAAGTGCAGCGGAACTGTAACACCATCTGAAATCTTAAAGAATTAATTGCGAGTGCTTGCCCTGTAGTCAGTCGTCTGTTTCATGAGCAGTAATAATGTTATGTCTGTTCTGGAAAAGGAAATATTTAGCAAATAGAACATGTGATATTCTTTGCTTTGTTACTTTTTTCTCCAAAAATATAACCATATAATATAACTTTCCTTTAGATTCAGTGAGCTAAGGATTTGTCTGTTCCTTTATTTTAGGGAATTCCACTTTTCCCTGATTTGAGGAAGCTCAGGCTATTTAGCCATAGCAAATGAGCCGCTATTGTTTTGGACTCATCTATGTGCGGTGCTTGACACTTTGTATAGGGTATTCAGAGCTCCTGCCCTAGGTAAATCTGTATTGCACACCCAAGATAATTTTAACTGTTATTAGCAGGGATTACAGCTAGCAAGAGAGGCAGAGTAGCATGCTGTTCTCTACTAGCAAATACTACTCCTGAATATTTCTTCAACTTCCAAGAGATTTTGGAGCATGCACTGAGCTCTCACTGCTAGAGCTAGTTCAGAGCTAACGTGGGGGTACCTGTGTGAATGATGAGTTTGACATGAGCACATTGCTTCTAAAAGCTGTGAGGCATTTTTCTGTTTCTCTTCGCTACCCTGTTCTCCCTTTGCGTTTCTCTTTGTGATTCTTTCATATCCTGTCTAGAGCTTTCAGCCTCAAGTATGTGTTCTTTCTTGTCTGGACAATGGCCTGTAAGTTGTTTTAGGCTAGAATATATTGCATCATTTTGAGGGGAGGAAGGCGTTTTGTTGTCGTTTGGTTTTTGTTTCTGATCACTGGTAGCTATGAAGGTTTCACTCCTTTGCTGAGGGACAACAGGTGATGTAATAGTGCACTTCACTGTGAGAGACTGAAACTTAAAGGTTGTAACAAACCCAGCTGATGGAAAAGAGCCCTGCCGTGGCAGTACGTTGTGTAGCCTGTGTTCTGTGTTTGCCCCAGCTGCTCAGGATGGGAGACGCAGTCTCACAGCAAAACGCAGCATCCTGTAATAAGTGCATGTGAAGGTGTGAATGTTGTGGAAGCCAAAGTCTCAGAAGCAGCAGCAAGGAAGAAGCATCTAGTATCTAAATACTAAGAGCTGACAAGCCAAGGTTATCAGACCATCAAAATGGCAAGAAGGAATGCCTTTACCTGAGCGCATTCTGAAAACAATCTGTAAGGTCGAGTCACGGAAAGCAGAACACAGAGAAAGGAAGGAATTTCATATTTTTAAGATACTCCTTAATTTCTACCTTTCTTTGGCAAAATATCTGAATATGTGTCAGAAGAGTAGTGTTTGAAATGCAGACCTTTTATTTTCCTTTGATATTTTTCTATAAAGAAAAACTGAAATATTTGTTCATCAAAGAAAGCATCCCTTTCTGTCATTTACTGAATTGCATGTGAGTTGTTAGCTCAGGAATGTTCCTGGCCTACCTGCTTAGGCCCAAGTATGCTTATTATATAGGCTGGGTCAAGAAAAGCAGCCTCGTTTCAGCAGTGCTGTGAGGCTGTTGGTGCTGAACCCTTATTCAGCAAAGCTGAAGGTGTAAACATGGGAGAAATTGCACTGTGGCTGCTGCCTCACAGCAAGCACTCTACTCCTCCATAGATAAGCCTGCGAAAGGATAATGCATTTGGCTCTCATCTGAAGTAAATTTGCCTCTGCTTAGGGAAGCCTAGTCACTGTTTTGCAGTTTTTTATGCTACATTAGGATTTTTTTGGAAAGAAACTGAGAACTAAACTAAAAAAATAGCATTATGATATCCTTTGCAGATGTTGCTCTTAGAGAGATAAGCAGATCTAATATAAGTTACCTCAAGGTGAGCTGGGAACAAATCACCTTTTAAACAGACATTACATAAAATGGATATGAGGGAGTTTATATATATGTGAATGGTATGGCAAGGGCAGATGTGCAGAAAACAACTGTTGACTCTTTCTCAAAATACAGGAGCCAAAGGGTGTCCAAAGAACTCATCAGGCGGCAGGTTCATAGGGCAGTATTGCTTCCACATTACACATAATTAAGTAGAGGAAGTCCCTGCTGTGCAAGTCACTGCTATTGTGGAAGCCAAAAGCAAGGGTAAGTTCATAAAGGGGTAGGTAAGTCCACAGGAGATAGCTCTGTTTGTCCTGACAAACATCACAGTGCAGATGTAACTCCTGGCTAATGGAAGTTTTCCATTACTTGTGGCTGGAAAACAAGAGATATTTTAGGGAGGAGATCCACACAATCCATGCATCCTACATTCCCACCCAAAGATACTGTTGGGAACAGGATAATAAAATAAATGACTTGGTTGTTTATATGGCAGTTTTGGGGTCTAATTATCACATAATGTGATCGTTCTTTTTTCTTTTCTTTTTTTTTTTTTTTTTTTTTAAATTTTTTTTTTCAGAATTGTCTTAGTTGGTAACTTAAAGACCATTTATAAATGGTTGTCAGAAAGACCATTAATAAATATGACTTGAGAAGAGAGCTAGTAAAACACTGCAGTATGGCAGCTTTTGTCTTGAAGTTAAGTTTAGGTTTTGATTATTTAACTGTTAGTTTCCTTTTGTCTTTACATAATTACTGAGGGATTCCTAGTGCTTTTTTTATATGGACTTTTTTCTAGTAGGATTTGAAACTTCTGTAAAGGCCATKTTTGAGCATGAGCATTCTTTCTAAACATTTAAGCATTCTTCTAGAGTTGAACGCAAAGGAGAGGCTTTCCAAGAAAATCCTACTGTGTCGTCAGAACRTTTTTGACACAAGGCTTAGTTTGGGTTTGAAAATGTAAAGAACACRGAATACCAACCAAGGTTGGGATTGATAAATGCAGTCCCTTAGAGTTTAGGAACACTAGAGAAAGTTGCTATATTTCTTTAAATCTTTCATTCAAGCTGTACATTTCAAAGTCTGACTTTGCTTTGAGTAATTATCACAATGAATGTACTTTCAGGATGCATGATATTTTTAGGGCATGCTGGCTAGTAGTTATCTCTGCTAGCAACTTGAAAACTCCGCTCCTCAGTGAGAAAATATTTGACTGGAAAGATTAGAAGTATCATTTAGTGAATGGAGTTAGAATCTCTTTCAATAAAAGAGCAAAACATAAGAGTTCCACTACTTTCATTTCAGATTAAAGAAAGTAAAGAAAAAGAAAAGCTGGAGAAGAGATTATTGGAGGAGCTGTTCAAAATGTTCATGGATTCGGATTCCTTTTACTACAGCTTGACCTATGACCTGACCAATTCAGTACAGAGGCAGAGCCTGTGTGAGAAAACCAATTTGCCTTTGTGGAGGAAAGTAAGTGGTTTTTTTTTTTTTTTTTCCCCCCTTAGGAAGATGTGCAGTATTAAATGTATGTTGTGCAAACCTGCCAGGACACAGGCTGCATATTATCCCCAGCAAGTGAGAATCTTGCCCTCATTTCTCCTCAAGAAAATGAAACCTCCYAGTCTTGGGTTGAGCTGTTTCAAGTCTGGTGTTCATTTCTTCCAATTATATATGTGCAGTTGTAGTGAATGCCCTCAGCAGCATCTCGAGCAAAGATATCTTCAAGGCTTGGCAAAAACTTGTTTATTTTTGTTCTGAACAGGTTGATGACAGATTCTTTTGGAACAAGCACATGATTGAAGATCTCATCAGCACCGATGTGAGTTCTGTTTGTTTCTCAGGCTGTGTGTATTACGAATACAATTCTGTCGTTAAGACCCCATAAAAGTTAATTAGCAATCTGCTTGGCAGAGAGGCCATAATCAGGACTGTGTCTGTTTGAGCAGCTGACTGCCTGGGCAGCTGACACTCCTTCCCTCAGCCAGCCTCTGTTTGGCCTGCAGTCACTGCTAATGAATGAGCAGCAGCCAAATGTACAGATTATTTTAATGGATCAGTGCAGAATAGCTTGTTCTGTGTATAACAGTTTGTGTTGAATCCTGAAGAATTATTTAAGACCCGCTTATCTTGGAAATGGATTAACCTTGGACAGAGCTGATTTTTCTTGCTCTTATTGAGGAAGTAATTTTTATCCTAAACAAGAAAATTTTCTTTGTCTTCCTAAGTGGAGATTAGAGTGTATATGTATATGTAAGGTACTTCAAAAATGTCCTCCCTGCTACAAAATAGCTGATCAACATAACTGTAGTGTAGAACAAATTATTCTAAACGGTTCAGAATGAAAAACCTCTCCACAGCTAATGAGCACACAAATTCAGAAAGGTGCAAGATCATACATTGAAGAAAATGTTTTATTGCAAATGAACCCCTCAGGTTACAACAGATTCTAACTACTCAGTGCCAATTTAGCCCAAATATTAGGTTCTCATAAAGCTGAAAGTCATCTTACTGTATGCCCTTTTTGTTATTAATGATTTTGGACTCTGTTGGATTAGAGCAGAATGAAATTTATCTTATGGTATATGAATTTGTGGGATTAGAGTGAGATAAGCATAGGTGTTCTGTCAAGTTTCATGCAATACAGGAATTTAACTACTTGGGTCTTCACTTCATAAGATGCACATGGATGACTTTGATTAACACGGGCCTTGGATCCAAGTTTTGTTTAAGAAGTGGAAGTTTTAAGATAAAATAGGGCAGAAAACTAATTTCCCAACAAGTCATAAGTCCAGGTAAATACTTTGGCTATTYGTATTTAGTGAATTATTCTCCACTTCTGTGTGGACATACAGGTTAAAAGTGCTTTAAATCAGAAACTAGGCAATCTGTTTACCTTTTTTTCTGCTCTATCAGAATTGCCTTTCTTATTTTTTGGCATGAAAAGCTATTACTCTAAGCTTTTAAACTTTATTTAATAAAACAGTGTTATATGAAAACTCCCTGTAAGGAAGAGAAAGAAGCTTGAAAACTGTTAGGAGTACTGGGACTCTTAAATCCCTAGAATACCTGGAGTAGAGAAAAGTCTTTGCCTTTTCTTGTGTCAATGTCAAGTTCAATGTTCCCTCCATGTCTCCAATCCTCTACTTTAAAATCCCTACAACCAACAGAAGGAGAGATACTGGTATCTTTTTTGGAAGTCAGATACAGATATCACACAACTTCTTAAAGTCAAGGAATATTTAGCAACCGTTGATACACATGATAAATAGTGGAGCATTCTTAGGTGATGTGAGATAAATTACAACCAACAGGCTCTAAATGTATTTTCTTTGTAACCTTCAGAATACTGATGTGGATTTCTGGATTATCCCCATCATACAAGGATTTGTGCAAATTGAAGAACTTGTAGTGAATTATAGTGAGGCTTCTGATGATGAGAAGAGTAGTCCTGAAACTCCTCAGGAATCAGCGTGTGTAGATGACATTCATCCAACCTTTCTGGTAGCGCTTATCTCGCGCCGGAGTCGGCACAGAGCTGGTAAGCAAACACAGTTCAGAACATCAGAAGGCCTGAATGTTGCTAAACAGCTTGTAAAGAGACTTTTTGAATACTGAAGAGAAATATAGAGGATAAAGCTTGGAGGACAAAGCTATGTCATTCAGCAGGTGTGGATAAGCTGTCAAAGCATGTGCCACAGCCCTTCCTGTCTATGGGAGACTAAGGGAGATTCACTGGTCTGGATGGTTCACTGGTTCASAGGCGTGAATGTATCCTTGGAGTTGCATTGGAGTTCTGTTCTSGAATAAATTTCCCTCTCCTGTTGTTTTCAAAGAACACTCTGATCTGAACATTGCTTACAGTTCTGAGCTGATATTGATGATTCAGTGGGCCTGGGTGGGAATGCAATTTTGAAAGGTTTTCCTTTAAGGGCTTCATAGYGGCTCAGTAGACATTTTACAGAAACAATCAAGCAAAAAACTTCAAGTACCTTTTTTTTTTTTTTTTTCTCCTCCTTCAGCTGAAGCAAGATTAGGGAGGGTCAAACTGTCRTACAAGGACTATGCTTTGATCTTGCTCATTTACTTATTTTTATAGCAGCAAGGCAAATTAAGCTCATTTCCTGTGTTTCAGAGAACAGGAAGAAAGACTGAATTGTTTTAGCGGGTCCTGTTGTATTCTGACCCTTTCCAGCCTGTGAGCACTTTCCTAATATTCTCTGCCCAGTCCRAGTCCTCTTGTCTCTCCTACAGTGCCAGTCTTTTAACACATCAGCACAGGCAAACCTGGTGAGCTCACTGTGATGAGACTGGCTTTCTTATGGTAGCTCAATTTAATGCATTTAGTCCAGTTCCARTCATCAGAGCTTTTCAGGGTAAATAATGAGATGGTGCTAGAGTAGCATCTACTTTACAATACATCTTACATATGCAAAATTGCCTTAAAAATACTGAAACTGAATTGCTCAATTTGTTCTTCTCTRTTGATGGCATTATTAATGACATCTGTTTCCTAGTTCAGAACGCAGGTTGTGTAGAGCTTTTTCTCTTACAACAAGAGGATCAGTTGAGTTTACCTATAAGTAAATTGATGCAGTGCTTTCAGGAATAAGCACAAGGTAAAACTGTGCTTTTAATTCATTCAGTAAAGCTCAAATTTAGTTAAGTGTTCAAGGTGTTTTAATGAAGTATAAAATGTGTGAGTTCTTAGGATTTTGGTGTTATGCATATACTGGTTCTTTATTTTTCAGATAGCTTATTTGTAATAAAAAAGCATTGCACTAAGTTAATAACCCACCTAAGACCGTAAGGAAAGGTATCATGAGACATAAAGGAAGTCAGCTCTTTTTAAGCTTAGAAAAGAAGGGTTTAGTGCCTGGAAAAGTTGAGACTTAAAGAGGGGGGATATATAAAGAGGTAAGGGATRTATATGTATATATAATATTATATATATTTTTTTCAGTGACTTGGTTTGGGTTTTGAAATGGTGTCCTCTGACCTCTGTCGGGAAGGAATAAGTAAAAGGCATCTGAAGCTTTACTCTGAAGTTGTGGACCAAAAGCTTCCTCCTCACTAAATTCTACAGAATTCCCTTGATTTCAAGTTGCTCTGATTCTGCACAACTGAATTTCTGGAGAATTTAAACTTTATACTCAAATCTACTTTAAAAAAAAAAAAAAAATCTGTCCCCCATTCTGAGAGATATTATAGCTTCTCCTTTACCTTACTGCCATATGAAAACACCTGTTATGGTTAATGACCAGATTGGAGGAAGATAGATGAATAACAGTGCATATAGTCCCAGGAGCAGTATCTGCTCTTAATGTTCAGATTTAGATGTATGCTAAACAATAAAAAGCCTTCTCTTGCTGTGCTGTGAGATGTGCAAAGGTTTGGGCTGCTCATGAGGCCTTATTGAGAGAAGTGAAGCATCTGTCAATAAAAGGTGACTTTTAGATTCAGGGAAATTGCTGAGCACTGAAGTCAAACCTGCTAAATTTGACAGAACAGGAGTTATCTACATTCTCAGAGTGGACTAGTTATTTTGGGGTTTATARGCCACTTAGTGCCAGTAAACTTCATTACTTACTGTGTCTTTCCCTGAGCCTTAACACAGTAAATGTTAGTTATGGGGACTGGCAGAACATGCAGTTTGATAAGGGAGTGTGGCTGGARCTATATTCTTGTCACTGTCACTAAACACAAACAAAATGCTCTGCATTTAAGAGTAATACTTCAACCTGAGTTGATCGTTACTTTCATTCCTCCTAGGAATGCGGTATAAGCGAAGAGGTGTTGATAAAAACGGGAATGTAGCCAACTACGTGGAGACGGAGCAGCTGATTCACGTGCACAATCACACGCTCTCATTTATTCAAACGCGAGGCTCTGTGCCTGTCTTCTGGAGCCAGGTTGGATATAGATACAACCCACGGCCTCGACTGGACAAGAGTAGGTATTTTTGAGCAGAATATATGAAGAGGAGAGTCCCTTTAGAAGTAGGGAATCAGTAGTGTTTCTTTACTAATAGTTTTTCACTGATTCTTTCTAAGTGCTAGGAATAATAGTAGTGACTTGACTCCATTTAACTCCTGCTGTAATCCTAACTGTGGAGCTCTGGCTCTTTATCTCTTGTAAATTCAGAGGGTTCTTGAGTTGCAGTATTTAATCAAGTACCTGTTTGTCTCATCCTGTTGCAGCTTTTTTTCTGGGTTGCAAGGGGAGAGCTGGGTTCCTCTTCTGAGGAAAAGCTGCTTAGTGGTGTCTTAAGAATATCTCTGTCTGAGGATAACTTGTGCTGAGGTTCCTTCTGTATTAAGAATCGATAATAATTCMGTGTGGGGCAAACTTCGATACTGGATACTGCACAGCTCTGTAGAGTGGCTAGGCGCTGCTATGAATTAAGTGTCTGTTCCCTGAGCTTCCAAAGGATTCCACTGGCCTTTGGATCATCCCAGGGAGTTTAGTATTGTGAAGGAGAGTGTTTTGGGGGAAGGAGGGCAGGATATTCATGGCCTTTTGAAATCAGTGACGCTGAATTAGATTGACTGACATCCCAGACATGCCTTATAAATACTTCCTGCTGGAAGTCCAATTGGTGTTTATGCAATTCTTTAACTTGAGCRAGTCTAGTTTTATTCCACTGAAGCCTCCAGAACTGAGAAATGGAGCAACTGGCCCTTTTGGATGAGGGCTGTGATGGTGGCAATGAAAGGCTTTGTTTTCCRTGTGTCTTGAGTAGGACCTAGCAAATTTTATCTCACTTAGATACCCAAGCATAACGGTAGCACGTAATTTTAAGCTTGCAGACAGCACCATTAAAGACTTAAGGAAGATGAGGCAATGGATTCAGCTCTTGAGTTTACACTAAGTACCTGAAGAGAACTGGAGGGGGATGACTTGTTGCCAGGTCATGGAAAGGTAAACATAAGTTCATCCATAAAGTGAGGAAAACTGTAGCAAGCTCTAGATATGGGGAAAATCCAAGAGTAAACCTCTCTCCCCCTGTAGATTATATGAAAGCAGCACTTAATTATTTCCATCTGAGAGCTTCTGTGTTGTGACATCTGTTCACAATTCTTTTTTTGTTCAGGTCTTTTTCAGTAGGATTTTTTTTAAAGGGGAATTGCATTTTAATTTGTTCCTTTTCCTACCTAGAAGTGTATCCGAGCCATTTTAAGAATGGCATTTCAATATCTACTATAAATGTAGACCTGTGATGTTCATGAACGTGCAAGATCTTTTAGAAAGAATACTATATAAGCATTACATTGTGCTGCATAATTAAAATCATACCCTGGTTTTACTTTTGATAATTCAAGTAGAACCTCTTGGTGAACAAACCATGTAACATTGGTCTGCCTTGTAGGTGAAAATGAAACGGTGCCCTGTTTTCGTGCACATTTTGAAGAACAGCTGAAAAATTACAAAAAGCAGGTGAGTGCTACATGAGGTCACATCACATTGCAGAAGTGCAGGAGATTTTTTTTTTCTTAAGGCTTTTTAATCTTTTAGAAGTTAGCTTTAGAAGGATAGTGGGAAAGTGATGCACGACCAGAACTTTACTACTTCTGAGCAGCAGTGATACACTACAAAATTGCTTAACCTTCAGGTACCTGGCTTATCAATTCATAGCTTTTTTGTATTCACATTGAGGTAGTCAGGTAGCTGTTGGAGCTTATTTCATCGCTAGTTTATACTAGTAGTTATAATAACTTTAGCAGGATGACTTAATGAACAGCTTTAACTCTTGTGCTGTGTGTTGCTACATGCCAAATCTAAGGGAACTCTGTAGCAGAAGGTGATTGCTTTCCTTTTTGAACAGGTTATTATTAACCTGGTGGATCAGACAGGCAGAGAGAAGATTATTGGAGATGCTTTCCTGAAACAAGTGCTTCTGTACAACAATGCAAATCTGACTTATGTTTCATTTGACTTCCATGAGCACTGGTAAGACCTTTTGTCACTTTGAATAATTTTCTTTTATTAGCGTGAAAAGAGAGTGAGAAGGAGGAGAAGGGCTGTTGTTTGTCCACTTCTGCATGAAACACTTTTCAAAGAAAAATTACCTTTTTTGAATCAAAACTGTGTAACACAGGCTGAATGACCGAACACTGTTTGGTATCTCCTTGCCTAGTGAATATGATACATGCTTTAAAATTTAAATTTGCTTTGCTTCTAGTGAGGCAGTTGCCTAAAATATGCTTTGAACATAAAGTAACATTTATGTTCGTGTGAGGAAGCACTTCTTTCCTGTGAGGGTGACAGAGCCCTGGAACAGGCTGCCCAGGGAGGCTGTGGAGTCTCCTTCACTGGAGGTCTTCCAAACCCATCTGGATGCCACCCTGTGCCCCGTGCTCTGGGTGTCCCTGCTGGAGCATGGGGGTTGGACTAGATGATCTCTAGAGGTCCCCTCCAACCTCAACCATTCTGGGATTCTGTGATACGGATWGCTAGCTAGTTTGGAAGAATGGCTGCATGAGCTGAAAAGCCACGTACCTGGCTTTGCCTGCTCTAAGATGCAGAGGATGGGAGATCTGACAAAAGAGAAATGCAAATCTCTCGTTCTTCACTTTTCACTGCACTGTTTTCTTAAATGTCAAGCAAAGTTATTTTCTCTGCTGTCATCTTGTATTGCTAACAGATTATTTCAGGAATGCAAATTCRTGAACTTATGGTTCTGAGTTTTGTCTCATATCTAGGTGTTTAGCTGTACTTCAAAATAACTCTGAATGTTGGCTGCTATTTAAACYTTCTGGCCTGAGAAAATTCCAGTTTTTCTCACTCGCTTGAAAATCTTAAAATCCATCTGTATCCAATTATTTTGATTAGTGGGGTGTATGGTGGTTGTGTTTTTCTTTGTGTGTATGTGTGTATACTTGTTAGTTTGTTTTAACATTATCTTAGTCTAAACTTATTTCTGTGAAATTCTATTTTTTTAGCCGAGGAATGAAGTTTGAAAATGTTCAGACACTGACTGATGCCATTCATGATATTATTCTTGATATGAAATGGTGCTGGTAGGTACTTGTTGTTTTCAGACTGCTATGAAATACTTTTAGGGGAAACTAAAAGAATACATCTTCAGGGGCTTGAGTTTGTCAGTACTGATCGTTTATGTGTCTCTCATGGTGCCTAGTTAGTGTTTGTAGAATTTAGAACACAGAATATAATATTTCTGTTCTATATGCCTAACAGTAAAATCCTCAGATGCTCTTTTCTGCCTCAAGTTTGCCACTTCTAATTTCTCTTATTTCTACTGTAAAACACTTTGTAGCTTGACCTACAACCCTAAAACTCCAAAGTTAGTATTGAAACCAGTAGGCACATGTGACCTTGGGTTTGTACTGATTAAAGCTCATGCGTTCTGGGCGTGAATATAGTTGCAGTACTTGAAATCACTGCGTATTGTTTCATACACCACGAGTGATGTGTCYTGCCAAATTACTTTCAGATTTCTCTGCTGGCAGTTAAAGTTAGTACCTTTTCTATTTTGAAATCTGTCATGTGAACATGTGAACTGAATTCAGCATTTGATTATACATAGCATCAAACATGGTCTAAGTAAGCTGTGTGTGGAAATTTAGGCTAGAATAGAGAGATGTGGCCTTAATAAATGAAGATAAGTGGGAACTAACTTATCTGAATGGAGTGTAGTTAGTATGAAATGATACTAGAAATAACATCCCATGTAGGAATTCCTATTTTCTACTTTTTTTTTCTGTTTGTAGAGGTTTATAAGTTACATATGATCAAAACTGTCTGGATACAGCTTGACTTTTTTCTTTCTTTTGAAAGGGTTGATCAAGCTGGTGTTATTTGTAAACAGGAGGGAATTTTCCGGGTTAACTGCATGGACTGCCTGGATCGTACCAATGTGGTGCAGGCTGCTATTGCAAGRGTTGTCATGGAACAGCAGGCAAGTACAACTAAGAATTATTTTCAAGCTCTAGGTGCCTAAAAACTTGATCATCAAGGAACTGTGAATCTGAGAAAACAGTATGTACAGCTAGAATAAATCTATCATTCTAAAACCATAGTGCCTTGTTTCTTCCTTCAGGGGAGAAAGGACTGGCTGTYTTGAATCCTTATGATGATTATTCTGTTACCACTTGTTAAATAGAATAATTGTAGGACAGTATAAGGTTAATACTCTTCTGCYCCAAACAACCCATTCCTCCCTCAGATGTGAGAGGACTAGAATAGAACTGGATTCAACTCTTCTGTGTAATGCTGTAGGCTAGGTGCTATTTTAGTTGCTTAAAGTGAATTAAATTGTGTGGCAGCAAATGGGCTAGTTGTGTGTACAAGAGCGATTAATTCATGATGTCCCAAGTGAGTAGCTCTTATGTTCTGCAGCAGTTATCCCAGTGTGGAGAAGGCCTTTCCCTGGAGACAAAGTCTGAACAACTCAGTTGTGACCTCTTTTTTTTTATGGATCCATTTTGATGGAATTTTGATTCAGTTTTCATAGAAAACTGAAGCATTTCCTCTCTTTTGAGTAATCTTGAGAAACTCATTTTCCTTCAGCTAATTTTTTGAAGATACATTAAATATGAAAGAAACTTATTACTGCTGCTTCCAATGGTGACTGTTTTGRTATAAAGTTTAGCAGTGAGCTAATAGTCAGCAGGATGATGTCCTTTTAAAAAAAAGATTAAAACTTAAGTATTTAATTGTTTCTGTTTTCTTATCAAGCATTGATATTGAGAATAACTTTGTCTTGAACCTTATGTTAATATATATATAAAATTCCAGCTCAAAAAACTGGGTGTGATGCCACCGGAGCAGCCTTTGCCAGTGAAATGCAATCGAATCTACCAGATAATCTGGGCCAATAATGGAGATGCCATAAGCCGGCAGTACGCGGGCACAGCAGCCTTGAAGGTAAAGGGCAGACTATTAACAGTTAATGATGCTGAATAGCTCGTTGCTTCCGACTTCTGTGTCTGCATGATTTAAATGTCTTGTGCAACAGGGTGACTTCACAAGGACTGGGGAGAGGAAGCTGGCCGGAGTAATGAAGGATGGGGTAAATTCTGCAAACAGATACTACTTGAATCGCTTCAGGGATGCCTATAGGCAAGCAGTCATAGGTAAGAGTAAAATTCCATTCTCAGCTGAAATCGTAGAGTTTACTGAAATCATCTTGGTTTTCTTTTAACTGTACTCTGACCTTAGGTGTGTGTATGCTGCTTGAGTCTGTCCAGTGGGCGCCACRTAGACTAGTCATTTATTTTGTGGAGATTAAACACTAGTCAATTCAAGGCCATTATAGGCAGTATGGATCAGTATGGAATTTGTACGTAATGTATTTGAATTTTAAACATCTTGTCATATGTTCTGCCTTAGACAAAAAAGATCAAATTTATGTAGGTTTTAAAGGTTTCATGTTTTAGGGTGCACTTCTAACAAAGTGCATGGCTGAACTTTCCGTGTGGAATACTGGTCAAAATTACAAGCTTGGTAGATATAATATTTTCTCTCCTCGCTGAAATAGCTCAGCTCTCCATCCTGCACTGCTTGAATAACCATTCTGAAGCCATTTTAATAACCATTCTGAAGCAAATTAATCAGACTGCTGCTTTATGTCTTATTTTTAATTGTTGCCTTCTCCTTATCAATATCTTCTCCTTATCTATATCATTTTTTTTTAACCTAGATTTGATGCAAGGTATCCCTGTAACAGAGGATCTTTACTCCATATTTACAAAAGAAAAAGAGCATGAAGCGCTGCACAAGGAAAATATGAGAAGCCATCAGGAACTGATCAGCCAACTGCTGCAGAGTTACATGAAACTGCTTCTGCCAGATGATGAAAAGTTTCATGGAGGATGGGCCCTTATTGACTGTGATCCAAGGTCTGTCGCATAAAGTCATAACTGATCAGCTGCTACCATGACCCTTCTGCTACTGCTGATACTTTGAATAGTCTTAATTTGTTGCTTTAGTAGCTGGTATGTTAAACGTGATACAAATAGGCAGTGTTCTGGAATGACTCTTTGAAGGATTTGTACACTTAAATCTTACTGTAAGATTTATTTTAAGAGTGGCTTGTGCTGAAGACATGGGAGGAGTTAAGTGAAGCCAAGGTGTTCAAAAATCAAGTTTTTCAAATGCCATAAAAAGAGAGCATAAGGGAGTTAATTTTGAAAAATTGCCTGGTTAGCCATCTAGTTTCCTCAATTTTGTCAAATTATTGTAGGCCCTAGAAAGAGAACTCTTAACCACTCTTAGCCTTAAAGGAGCTTATTTTACTTATTGCTTTACAGGAGCAGTGTAACTCAACTGCAAAGTCCTATTTTAGAAAAAATTTTTGTCTAAGGGTTCTAATATGAAAATACAGAGAGAAAAAAGTAGCAGGTATAAACTGTGATAAACTTGATAAGGTGATTTATCAGTGAAAGAGAACACTAATTTGTTCAAGAAAAACAATGGTTAGGTCTCTAGCAGGTTTAACTTTAACACTTGCACCAGTGAGGGATGCTCATGCATGCACAACTTGGGTGAACTGAGTTTATATAATACTTCTTCCCTTCAATATTTGTAATAAGTCCAAGAGATAGTGTACCAAAAATTAAGTCCTGTGTTGCAGTGTGCCTTCATTTGCCCCCTACTCTGCACTACTGACTTCTTTCCTTCTTTAGTCTCATTGATGCCACTCACAAAGACGTGGATGTGCTGCTGCTGCTCTCCAATTCTGCCTACTACGTGGCCTAGTAAGTCACCAGCTGCTTTTACCCTGTGCAGGGTATTTTGGGCTGCTCTGTCCTGGGGTAGTGCCAGGCATTAAGCTCTGTCTCTTTCTCTAGCTACGATGATGAGATTGACAAGGTGAATCAGTACCAGAGGCTCAGCCTTGATGCCTTGGAAAAAATAGAAATAGGTAAGAGCTGAGTTCCTGGCTGTCCCTGTTTCCTAAGGTGCTCTCAACAGAAGCTGGAGGCAGAGCCTTCCACATAAGCTACTGCAACACAAAGCCTCCATGCATGGGGACTGTGGAGTTCCCAGAGCTAGAAACGTGCTGTCCTGCTAATCAGGAGTGCACTTGAGCCTGTGTCTTCTCTCTCACTCRTGACAGAATGTGTGCTGGTGCTGCTCGAAAGGGAGACTGGTACCTGGAGGTCTCTAAATGCCTCTTTTTGCMAACTCCTCTAAACACTTTAATTTATTAAAAATCAATTTAATGAATGATCAAATTGCAGTTAACAGTTTGGCCTGCCTAATCACAGATATGCAGTGCATATGATATACTTGAATTCCCTTAGATCCAAACAAAGCAGGCAGTTCTGAGTAATGCTTATTTAGATCATTGTTTCACAAACGAAGTGAATCTGTATCTGTGTTTCTGTAGCTGACGCAGAGGCTTTCCCTGGTGAGGGAATTCTGCTGCCCTCCCTCCCAATTCGTTATGGATGTGCAATTTCTAAGAGTGGGAAAGGTCTGGCTTGCTACTTTATTGTGGATGAATATCGTGAGCTGMAGAAACATCTGGACCAAATACCTTGCTGGAGAAGTAATCTCCAACTTGTTGGCTTACTTTTCAGGACCTGAGCCTACTCTCTTTGGCAAACCCAAGTTCTCTTGCATGAGGCTGCATTACAAATACAAAGAAACAAGCGGGTATTTTCACACACTTAGAGCTGTGGTACGCAGTCCTGAAGAGGATGGAAAAGGTTTGTTTTGTGTATGAAAGTTTTATAGCTGAAAGTTTATTCTATATACTAATATTTACCTCTATGTAAACCCAGTTTTCCATCACTCCTGGAGTACCTTCTAGTACAACCAGCTTCTCTGCTGGGAAATAAATACCAAAACGTGGCTTCCTGTGGGAGCACTAACCTATTGTTTTAATACAAAGAAACATATAATTTGGATATAATTTTAAAGCAATCCATTGCAAAGAATTGGACATTGAAATGTTGTCTTTTTGCTCCCAAGATTGAAACAGATTGAAGTTCCTAGGTTTCTGGAAATGGATTTAGTTGGTGAAATCAATATCTAGAAATGCTTTGCTTCTTGCTCAGCTAAATTAAGAAAATACTAATAGGAGAGAAACCCCTTACCTGGAACACTGGGCTTTGTCAAGAAGGATTAGAATAAGCATAATTCATATTTTGTTGCTTCTGTCACTTTCAGAATACATCTCTTGGGGAGGGAATTCACTTATATTCAGCTTGAGGGCTTAAGGAGAATCTATTCTTTCCATAAGCTTATTTTGTAAGCTTTTAAATTTGAATTGCAAACTATGAGGTTCAACAACAGGAGGAAAATAAAATTAAWATTCATTAAGTGACAGAGACTCGTCTAATTTTAGATTTCAAAATACAGGGTTTTAGGGTTTTTGAGAGTCTGACAGGCTGCTAATTGGATTTCAGACACTCTTCAGTGCATTGCAGAGATGCTGCGAATCACGAAGCAAGCGATGGGGTTAGACGTGCCCATTATTGAGAAGAAGCTCGAGAGGTGAGTGCATAAATGATGGGGCTCCTCTGTGTCCAGCTTCTCTTCTCCTACCACTTGACACTGTCATGCATGAGATGTCGGCCAGAACCCTAGAACTCATGTGCTAGGGGTGGATTTGCTTTTGCTCTGCTTTTGATAACCACAATCTGCAGAAGTTTATCTGAAAGTTTAAGAAAGAATATTTTCTTTCACTGATTTTCATGTACTTGGGCTCAGGCTGCCTTTGTACATTGTGCTTACATAGAAACAACATATATTCATTGTGAAATACAAGTGGTACTGCAAATGAAATGGTTTGTGATCAGTCTGTCAAATCTAGTTTGCCCTGTCTGAATTTATTTCATCTGTTTTCTTTGGAAACTGGACTGGTCCAAGAAAACCCCAAGCAGAAGCTGGTGAATACTTGTAGTTCTATAAATGGGACGGCTTTGTTAATTGTACATTGGAAATTTTCCTTTTTTCCCTCCAGGAAGAGCAGTAAAGCTCACGAAGACATCATTGGCATTCGCTCTCAGAACAGAGGGTCCCTGGCCCAAGGCAAGAATTACTTGCTGAGCAAGTTTTCATCTCTCAACCAGAAAGTAAAACAAACCAAATCCAATGTGAACATCAGCAATCTCCGCAAGTTAGGCAGCTTTACCAAACCCGAAGTGAAAGTCAATTTTTTAAAGCCAAACTTGAAAGTGAACCTTTGGAAATCGGACAGTAGCCTGGAGACGCTAGAGAACCCGGCGGTTGACACCAAAGTCCATCCCGAATCCGATATCGAAATGTCCGACAACGATTCCTTCCATTCGGACGACTTCCTGACCAACTCCAAGTCGGACGAGGAGCCGCAGTCGAGCGACTCGCTGGAGGCGGCGGGGCGGGCGGACTACGTGCTGCCCAGCTGCGGCATCGTGGCCTCGGCGCCGCGCCTGGGCGCGCGCGGGCCGCTGCTCGGCGCCGCCATCGGCCTGGCGCCCGAGGGGGTGCCTGGGCCCGACGAGGCGCCCGCCGCTGCCCTCATGGCACCCGAGGGGGCGCCCGGGCCCGAGGAGCYGCCTGCGGTTGCCCTCGTGGTGCCTGAGGGGGGTCCCGCCGTTGCCCTCATGGCGCCCGAGGAGGCGCCCGCCCGGCTCGGCTCGCCCGGGCCCCTCGACATCTATTGCCGGCAGTTTGCGCACGACGCGCGCCGCCATCTCGCGGGCGGCCCGGAGCCCGAGGCTGGCCCCCCGGAGCCCCCTCGGGCGGTAAATGACAGCAGCAGTAGCGATTCCCCCAAGGCAGAAGCTAAGGCTGAGCCCCGCAGGGACCTTCCTTCCAGGCCATCGCAGCTGGACGTGCGGGCRGCCGGGCTCGACGCGCAGCTCTTGGCTGTCGATGGCGCCTAYGCCAATAAACAGCATCGAAGCGCCGGGGCCCTCGAGACGGGACTGCACACGGCGACTCCCTCGCCGGCCGACAGCAGCAGCAGCAGAGCCGTGTCTCCCTTTGCTAAAATACGCAGCTCCATGGTGCAGGTCGCGAACATCACCCAGGCGGGCCTGAGCCAGGGCATCAGCTTCGCGGTGGCCAAGGTCCAGAAGAGCCCTGCCGAGGCCGAAGCGCTGAATGAAATCAAGCAAAAGGAACTGAGGGAAATGTTCACGCAATGCCAGACCCGAATAATTCAAATTTAGTGAATTTGGAATTACTCTTCTCGTTGTGGCTTTTAATACAATCCTGAAAAAGTTCACACCAGAGGTCACAGGAGCACGAACCGCTGCAGAATACTGGGATCAAAACCACGATTTTGTTTACAGGAGGTGTGTGGTGCAAGTGATTTGGTTCTGACCAAGCTTCAGGATCCTCTTAAGCAGCTGAGACTAAAGGGTAAGCCCTGTTCAAACAGGTAGCCTAACACTGGGGTTTGGGAGCACGCTGGCCACCTTCATGTGTCGCGCAGGCTTACTTGAGACTAGTTTTGTAGAGCCTCCGAATTAAGTAGAATATTTATACCAAAAGGGTGATATTGCACTTCTGTGACCTTACTTACCTTGCACTGCACCAGCAAAATAACGGATAGATTTAMGTTTTATTTATTTTTTGGACTAGTATTTTTACTTATTTTCATTGGGAATTTTAGACACAGCTTTCTATGAATCGTGCCTCTACAATGTGTTTTCTGTTGTATTTGGGTATGTGTTAGGGATTTTTTTCCTTTCTGCTATCCTCTTCCTCCCTTTCTGGGACACTTCCAGGAAAGATTAAGTACACAGTTGCAACCTGAAATATCCACAATCCTGCAGTGCAAACAGTTTGTAGGTTTTGTTTTTCTTTTCCTTTTGCTGGGCAAGGGGGAATGGCACTGTTGACCTCTGGTTGTCTTGCTCACGTTGGAGCTGTCCTGTGCCCTCTCCAGACCCCTAACACTGTCCTTGTGCTCTGGGCTTGGGCTCGCTGTGGAGCGGGGCAGCGTTGGCTCTCGCRGGCGCTCTGCAGCGCAGCCCTTTGCTCTCTTCCCCTTTCTTTCTAACCACCCAGATGCAGAAGCTCAAGTAGCTGCTTCCAAACCAGGTAAAATGCTGCTCCGTGTAATCGGTGTTGACATTGGAGCACCCCTGTGAGAATGTTTAATCAAATTCACTATGGAGTGGGGCTTTGCAGCCTTGCTTGCCACCAGACATATGCACGCGCGCAGGCGTCGCGGGTTTAGTCTCCTCCATCACTCCTCTTCCCAGATCCGCCTTGTGATGCCACCTGGTGTAGGGCATTATCCAGGAGCTGGTGGAAAGCAGGATTTTCCTTGGCTGTGGTTCGGGACTCTACCTTTCTAGAGCCAGTGCCTGTGTGTGTTAGTCCCTGTGCTGTAGATGAGCTGCACGTGGTGTTCCCAGCAGTGTCGTAGGGCTGTTAGGGGGTCTCCAACTCCTCTCGTGTATCAGAACCCTCAGCTACTAACCCTTAGTGTCTGCAACTTTGATAAACGAGTTTGACTTATTTATTTGTTTTATGGAAGTGATGTGGTTCTGGGTTTTTTGAGTGTCTAAACCTGTGGCTATATTTAAAATACTGTTGTATTTTAACGTGAGCAATATACATGATATTTTAATAAAAAAAAAAAAAGTGGAATCACAAACTTTGTGGACTGTCATTACCAACAGATTTGTCACATCATTGGATAGAGTGCTCCAGCTTCTAGAGTTCAAGATTACACGGTTGGGCTATTTTATCTTATTTTTCCCCTCCTGGATTCAGGCTACACAAATGTCTTCCTTAAAATCTCTAATCATTTCTTCCTGGTGCTCTGCTCCTGGAAGCTGCTCCTCAGAAAAAGCAAGTCACTGACATTCAAGCAGGACATTCCTGAGGTGCCTAAGGAGTCCTCCTGGGAAAAGGAAACTTCATGTCCTTGAAGAGCCTTGGAAAATACTCTGACACAATTTTGGTAGAAGGGAGAAAAAAAAAGACTGGTGTAAATTCTTTTACAGTGACTATTTACACTCTCTAAAATTGTTAAAATTTGTGATGCAAGACTGCAAGGGTACAAGTGCCTGAAATGTTCTATGTGGGGTTTTTGTTTGTTCATTTAAACTAGATGCAGGTCCTGAGGGGTTTTCTAAATACACAGAAACAGCAGTGGAGGATGCAAAACCCTCTTGTGAGTCATCCCACAGGACWGGGCCTTTCCTGTGCTCCTGGGCCCAACATCTTCTCTCCAGCAGGGTCTGGAACATCCCAAGGACCAGGAACACTCCAACCTGCCCTTACTTTGTTTTGCTGCCCTGGTTGCTGGGCTGACTACTCAAGTTTGAAGACAAGGGAAGTAGCGTGAGGCGGCCCTGGGGAGAGGACAAGGCCTTCCCTGGGCTTTCTCTCMCTATGCATGACAGTAAGCTGAGAATGACCCTGCTGCCTCAGACAGGCCCCTGCAAGCTACATTTTGGATTGTCCAGCCTGAAGGCAGAAGGGTTTAGAGATACAACACCAGTTAAGGTGGTAAAACCACCCTGCCTCAAGTTAAGGAGTACTGAATTTCCATTTTTCATAATAAATCATATTACCACAAGGGTGAACAGTRGAGAAGATGTTTCAAACTTCTAGAGTTTGCCTTGATTTAAACAAAACATTCTTGTCTACTCAGCAAGGAGGACAACAGTGGTGGAGGCAGCAGGTGCTTCAAGGCCCAGGAGCTGCTTTCTTCCCTGTTTCCTTCTGTTTAGGAGGTTTAAGCTGAAGCAAGATYCAGCCTTAGCCAGAAGGCAGGCACGTCAAATTTCTTATGAAGAAAGGTCAAGGTGTAATTCATACTGAAAATGCTTCTGTACAGCCTGATATAATCTATTATGCTGCTGAAAGAGTGTAACTCTCCTTATGTTAAATTTAATTATGGTACTCCCTTGGAAAGACTGAACTGTTACAGTTACAGAGCCTGTTTAGCAGAAAGATACCCTRGAAAATGTAGTTTAAGAACTACACCACATCCTTCTTCCAGACAGGAGTTACAGTTTCCTGTTGTTAAAGGAAATAAGTTTACACAACTTCAGTATTAAAGTTTAATATCAAACAATTTGCTCATTGTTACCAATTCTCAATTACAAAACAGGCTCCAAAAAAAATTCATAAAATATGTTTAACTTGCTGAACACGGAGTTAAGGATGTTCAGACTTTGAGGGTAAATATCCATAATTTTTGGTATAAATTATCTACAAAAACTGGTATAAACAATATCCAATCGCAGTGTGGGCTCCATCTAACATTAGACAGGTTTTCATAGTGACATCCACCACATGTTAAGAATTAAAGTTCATTCCCATTCACACACTTCTGCTGCTGCAGCCTGGCTTTCCGCAAGGCCTCCAGCTGCTTCGCGCGCAGCCACCGCTCCCGTGACAGCGTCGTCAGCCCCGCACTGAGAGACAGGAACCTGGAGGGGCAGAAAGAGCAAATAAGAACTTCATGATTTGACCACCAGGGCTGCTCGTGCAGAACAGGAACAGTTACTCTCTGTACCCTGTGAACAAACAGGCAGGAGGAGGAAGCACCCTTCCACATCAGTAAGAGAACTCTTAACACTTCACCAAAAGATGGAATTGCCTAATTGGATCATTAGCCCTAGAAAAGAACCTCACTCAGCTGCAGTGAAACTGCAAGCACTTACTGAAACTACAAGCACTTACTGMGTTTGGTTTGGGGTCTCCTCACCTGGCTACGAGCAGAGTCCTGTGCAGGTCATCAGCTGTTATGCTCTCAGGGTCGTTCTTGCGCATTTCTACAAAGTCCTCCTCTACTGCCTGCGAACAGGAGAGCGAGTGAGGGAGGTGCAGAAAAGGAGAGGGGCTTTTAAGGAGCTGAACTGTAACTAGCCCTGGGATGAAGGAAGAAACTATTTAAACTTGCAGGGATGGGGAGACCACCCTTGACAAGAACACACTCGTCTTCAAAAACAAAGTTTTAGACAAGTTTACTTGAGATTATATCCTGAAATACTCAGAAGTACCAACCATTAAGAGTTCACGACAAGAAAACACTTTCTTTTTAAGAACTTTAAACAGAATCACTGAAAGAGAGAAGAGCAGCTTTCTCTGAACGTGCTTCATTTCTAGCTGACTGAGCAGTCAAAAAAGCGTTAGTGAAACCTTCCATACCTTAGTCACCTCATCAGATATACTGTAGTCCAGCAGCCGCAACAAGCTCAGATAAATTCGGAATTTGTTGAGCACAGAAGGGAGCACGGCTGTTAGAAGGCTATTCATATATTCCTCCATGTTTGGCGGAATGATCTGTGGCTGTAAGTGAACCTGGCAATCTGACTGAAAGACAAACAACACTTATGTTGCCATGAAGTCATTCCCGAGTGTAATTATTGCCCAAATTCAAGAAGACTTTGCCATACCGGTAGGAGGGAGCGGCCCTCGGAAGTGATAAGAACATTAATATTGCACGGGAATTCCATCTGGTGGTAACTGAAGTCATAATCCACCTTCTGCCAAGTTATCAGATTACCCAGTGCTGTCACGTTGTGGATGCCTAAAAAGCAAGAACAAGTTCTCTGAGAACTGGATTTAAACAAATGTCAGACTTAAAACCTTTTCCCTCCCTCCCTCAGGAGCAGCTAGTAGAAAAAAATACTTGCAAGCGTCCTGCTTTTTCCAGACACTGATTGCTGCCTCCAAAGAACTGATATTAAAAACTCCTAGGCGATTAAAAACTCCTAGCCTAAATCAAATCTAACCCAATATAATCGTCAGTATGCAGAGCTTTCCAGCCGTTTTACAGAGGCAGAAATGACTCTCTGTAGAGGAAAACTTTCTCCTCAAAAAGGACATAAAACCCTGCTACTTCTCTGGCAGAAAACATGGAAGAATAAAGTAGTGCTAGAAAAAGATCTCAGTACATTGGCCAGCAAGGCTTGAGAGCTGGAAAACAGGCTCGATGTCACCTTTCCAGACAGTTCTAGGTCATTTCTCTTTAGGAGTTGAGATTCACGGGTCAACTGGTCGACTCCTGGAAGTTCCTCTTTGAAACACTGACACCTACCTGACAGCTCGGGTATCTCTGCAGCAGCGCTGCCCACCCCAATGACACATCCACCCTCATATTTTTGCCGTGAATAAGCTAGGAAAACATTTACTACTAGTATAAATAAAGGCATTTCTGGGACATTYCCCCCGCCCCTGCAGATCTCTAAACTGTGGATTTCAATAAGGCCAAATCAACTAATAGATCTGCAGATGTTTCTGCTCTTTTCTAGAATTAAATTTTGTTCTCAAAATTGTTACAAGATGTTAAAAATGTTCTCTTGAATTTGGATGGGGGAGAAGTAAATGTTATCACCAAGGGGAACGAAATTAAATTAAACAGACCTTTTAAATTAATGTTTAAATATTACTTTTCAAACATCGTGTTCCGTAGACTTAAAGGATAGACCTTTCAGAAACCTATAAACCAGCACAGCAAGGTATTCTTGGTAAACGGAGGATTTTTTTTTCCCAGATAATACTGCAATTTCTACTAGTTTTGCTATTTCTTTCTACAAACAGACAGCTCAAAAACTGGTGAATAATACCAAAAGAACAACTTTCAGTAGCAGTAATAAAAACTGCTCTGTTTCTAAATAGTAATACCCTGAAATCTAAGCTTAGCTAGTTCTGCCAGGTTGTTACCCTGCTGATAGTCTGTGATGGAGAAGAGCGCTATTAATGCCCATTGGGGAGAGCAGCTTGGCCGCCAGCGTCGGGGGAGCAGGGATGGCAGTTTTCTTTGAAACTACAGTCACTTGCGGCGATTTCATCGCCTCCTTCACGGGGTATGAGGGCAGGTGACGAGGACGGGAGCTGCGGGTGCCACCTACCTGTGGTGTCRAGCTGGCCCTGCTCGAGCACCGTCTCGTCCAGCACGAGGGACGTGTTGCTGGCGAGCTGCAGCASGCCGCTCACCAGCCGGTTGGCCGCGTAGTCTTTGTGCGGGATGAAGTGCGAGTGGTTCATGTTCTCGATGGTCATCTGGAGCCGATAGGACTGCAGGGAGAAAAGAAACCGATGAGCACGTTCGTGCTCCTTCCGCTTCCCTATGGAGAAATATTGCTTCTGGGAAGCTCTGTAATAAGCAAAACAAATTCTGTTACCACTATACTTGTTTTTTATCCCAAATTTCCAGCAAAAAAAACCTCCCACAAAAAAGTATATTACATAAAACATATATCAACATACATTACAATGAAATCATTTAAGTATATACACACATCCATCCATGAAGCAAAGTAAACTATTCAGCATGTCTGTCAGTCAGTTTGCAACCTTGGAGGAACATGACCTTATTCCATATTTATTCTAGATGACCAGACAGACACAGGCTCCTACTGAAAGGAAAGCCCCAATTTCATTTATTTTATTTCTTAACTGCCCTTTAAAGAGACAGTTGGAGCCTTAAAGGCTTTGTTTAAACTTTTAATGAAACGCAGCTGTTTGATTGAAACAATTAGCCGAGTAGTTACCATTAAAATAGGAAAATATC